TTAGCTTGATCTGATCTTGTTGAAGTCTCTCCTCGGTTCTAACATCCTCATGAACAAAATGGCTGTTGTCTAGCATAGGCACGTGCTGAGTAGCTTTTTTTTAAGTTTCATTTCATCATATTATAATCCCAACCTCGATGGTAAGATTTGACTTTAAAAGGATTGGCTCGGTCAAGTTTTTGATATAAATATGATAGATTCGTGTTTGAATCGGAACATCCTTCACTAAGAAGTATCTTGGAGGCCATGCCCCTGCAATGTAGATGGCATTTGCTTGATGCACATGGACAATGCAGTCTGATTGTATCCGTGGGGATTTTTACTTAAAATTAAGAAGTACCCTTGATGGTCCGATTGCTGGCCTCATGAGATTGCTTCTGCTTTAAAGTCTGCTACATGAGAGAGTATGCCCGTATTGTAGATGCAGCTTAATGGGGGATGAAATCTGGTGATTGATTTGGCTGAAGGCATTAATGGGATTGAGTTTGTTGGCATGGATTTTGCACAATATGTGAGTATGGCAAGACAGTGCAGGAGATGGTGGCCTTTTCATCATCACTGGCGGAATTTGGTATAATTCTTGTTGGGTCAAGATAAGACATGTGGCTTTGGTGAAAGATGAATTAAGGATTAGCTATGTGCGCAAATAACACCAGAGTTGAGGTAGCTATTTTTTTGTTTGGTATCCATTTTGCATATCCTATCAGGGGAAATGAAACAATTTCTAGACAATGAAGACTTTAGTTTTATATAATTTTGCTTTTGCACATGCCAGTTACCTGCTTATTGACGCAATTATTTTCGTAATATTGTGGCTTCTGATGATGTGTATTGAATTGTTTTATTATCTTTTTGTGACTCCTTGCTTTTTACTGTTGCTTCGGGCAGGAAATTGTTTTAAGCTTTTTGGCTTGTCCGGGACAAGATATCATTCGTTTTGTTTTACAGCCTGGTAGTTTGAGTGGAGCAACTGGTTCGATTTTTAATCTTTTGATATTCTTGTCGATGATGATTGTGTTTATGTCCTTGGTCAATGTGTTCTGCCAACATGTGAGTAGAAAGAAAGTTCAACTGTATATTTTCTATCTGAGATGTTTAGACATAACTTTTACTTGTTCAGGTTATTAAAATTGGAAGAGAAAAGTACACTGTGGGTGAGGCTCTTTTTCAGCCGTCAATACTGGGTTTGGAGGCACATGGAATTGTCGAACAGCTCGTACGAAGTGTTACACCTGTATCATCTGAAAATCACAAACAGCTTTTGGAAAATACTGTACTTTGTGGCGGCACTGCTTCAATGACTGGTACAGCGTCAGTGAAGGCTTGAATTAAGTTCCCTTATCTTTATTCATGACAAAGTTTCTTACATTTATGGAGCTATGCTTTCAAGATATCTAGCATATGCACCTTCTCTTACATATTGGTTCGGCAAATTCTGTGCTGGCATATTCATGGATGGAATAGGGTGGCCTAGGACAATTGAAATTTGTGTTGGTCTTCTTCCTTTCCGGATAACATGTAATGTTCCCATGTGAAGCCATGCCTGTCCCTGGCTATGCCTGACCAGTGTGGAACTCGTAAAGAAAAGTTATTGCAGCCAAGTTCTGTGCACACGATAGAGTTTTTTTTTGGCTGTAGTGCAGACTATGAATTACAACCTTTAAATTGCCCTGTGCTTATTTCCTGTTGTTCTGTCAGTATATGGATGCATGAGGCGCCGGTATATGCTTCGTCTTTTTTAGTGATTGATATGATGCAAGTTATGATGTGCTCTCTTCTGCGTTAAAAAAGAATTTATGTTTTACTTTTTTGCTTCATAATCAGTCAAGTCTCATATTCTGATCTTGAGAAACCATGCTGGTTTGGTTTTAAGCCTATGTTTGTCCTCTTCCTGCCCTTTTATAGTTGCTTTGCTTTTCCCTCTTGGGAGCAAGGGTTGGGGCTTGATGAAATGGCTGGAATAAAAGAACAATCAACAACAGATGACACCTGTTGAAATACAGTTGAGGGAGATCGGACGGTCTGGAGTTGTGACTTTTGTCATTATGCTATCTATTGCAGGTTTCGAGGATAGGTTTCAGAGAGAAGCTGGACTATGCTCATCAGCTATTCGTCCTGCATTAGTGAAGGTATCATATCTCGCTAATATTGTCACGAATGGAAGTTTTATTGTCTTAACACACCCTGCCGGCAGTATTTCTACTTCTAATTGAATACTGTCAACTTTTGGTCTTTGTCTTAAGCACATGCACTTTTTCATCAGTAGTGATTTTGTCTTGTTGACCTTATTCAGCACCCCTTCTTTTACCCATTCAAATAGAGCTGAATATGGTCGAAAAGCTGTGATTGTTCTGCCTGGCAGGCTGCTGTTTTTTCCCATTTCTCGTTAGAATATGTTGTGAGCTTTCTGTTTGCATTTGTTGCGTTCTTCGTGAGGCACCTAAATGTTAACTCTTTGATTGATTGCAGCCTCCTGAATACATGCCAGAGAATTTGACACACTACTCAGCTTGGGTGGGTGGGGCCATACTTGCCAAAGTTGTTTTCCCTCAGAATCAGCATGTTACTAAAGCAGATTACGATGAAACTGGACCTTCTATTGTTCATAGGAAATGCTTCTAATTATTCTCGTCTCATCTTTCTGTGCTGTTTAATGTTAAGATTGATCATCATTGTGTTTATTAGATGGTTGTTTCCTAGAGAAGTGCAAGTACAGATGTCTCACCTCCTTAAGTTTCCATGTGGTTGACCCCAGAGTAGCCTGGAAACTTGTGGGGTTTTAAGTTACCGTGGGAGATTGGATGCCATCTATTCGAAGTAAAAGCTTTTTTTTCTTATTGCCATACTGAATAGTCAATTTTCTCTCCAACTAACGTGAGCTTGGAATATAATTGAATGATGAAATTGTGATCCATTCTTCACTCATCTTTCTGATGGTGTTATTTTTTGGTACTTTAGTAACCTCACCTCAACCGTGTTCAATTAGAATATTGTTTTTACTTATCTACCCTAGCACGTGGTGCCCGTGCCTTAACAAGTTATTCTCTTTTTGGTGTGAAAGGAGTACTGTGTATTGTGTAACATGTATTCAGTGAGATGAAAGGGGCCATCTTAAGAAAGTAAAATTCAGGGGCTAGATAACAATTTGTTTAGCGACATTTCTGTTCAGAAATAAATTTTTTTATTTCTTTTTCTTAGACAGTTTCTGAGCAAAAAAACGCGTTTAGTAATTGTACAAAATTTCTATTCTCCAAGTAGAAAAATAATAGAAATGCATTTGGTAGGACACTAAAAATTTCTATTCTCAATTTTTTCATTTAATTTAAAATTGTTGGTTAAGATTTAATAATTCATGTTTGGATAAAATTGAACTAGAAATAGAATAAGAATATATTATGATATAGAATTGGATGATTTTAATACAATTATAAAGAAAATTATTTCTTATAGACAAAGCAAATACCGGGTGATGGTGTAGGAAATTGTAGTTTAGAGGACTTAACAATTCATATTTGGATAAAATTGGACTAGAAATAGAATAATAATATATTATGATATAAAATTAGATGACCTTAATACAATCATAAAAAAAATTACTCCTTATAGACAAATCAAATATCAAGTGGTGGTTGAAAAAATTACAGCTCAAGGTATAAGATTTTAGGATTTGGGGTTAGGGTCTTAGGATTTTGGTTTTGAGGTTTAGAGTTTCGGGTTTTAGATTTTGGATTTTATGGTTTAGGGTTTGGGGTTTAGTGGTTTAGGGTTTTAGGGATTCGGGTTTTGGGTATTGGGCTTGGGATTTAGGGTATATGGTTTAGGGTTTACAGTTTAGGGTTTGGTGTTTATGGTTTAGGATTTGGAGTTTTGCGGTTTAACATTTTAGGATTGAGGGTTTGGAATTACGATTTTAGGGTTTCAGGTTTGGAATTTTGGGGTTTAGTGTTTCGGGTTTTGGATATGGGATTTTAGGGTTTGGGTTTTTGGGTTTAGGATTTGGGTTTTGGGGTTTTAGAGTTTAGGATTTCGGGTTTTTCATTTTAGTGTTATGGATTTTAGGGTTTGGGTATTGAGGTTTAAGATATTGGGGTTTAGGGTTTGAGGGTTAAGGTTTAGGGTTTAAGATTTGGGGTTCTAGGGTTTAGTATAAGAATATCTTGTGAAAGAGGGAGAGCTGATCTTGTTTCTTTATTGTTTCTTTTTTTGTTCTAGAAATAGAAAAGTAGATTTTTTTTATTTCTTATTTCTGTTCCAAATCTATTCCCCGACCACTTTTCTGTTCTGGGAAACAAAAAAATTAACTGACGTTACTAAACGGATTTCTGTTCTTTTTTTATTCCGAGAAATAAAAGAACAGAAACAAAAATGTTACTAAATAGGTCCTAAATGGCTTATTCTTTCTGTTCTTTTTGCTTGCTTGCAAGTTCCTTAAAAAAGGCTAAGTTTGGTCTTGATGTCTTAATTGCCATCAATGAGGCATTTGGGTGAGCTTGAGTACTCGGATAACACCTGGTCACTCGTGTGCCTATCGTTTCATGCTTTTGGGATCTGCTGAGAATTCTTGCGAATGAAAATGTCGGGAGACCGCAGAGACAAGTAGGAAAACACAGCCAATTGTAATTGAAAACTGGGGCTGAAGAGGCACTAGATAACAAAAGTTCAATTATGCAAGTGGGACCAAAGTCTCACAGAAGTTCAGTGAAAGATCGAGCCAAAAATCCAAAGGCTCCGATCCCCACATCAGAATCTGATAAACAATTGTCCCATGCCATAAGAACTAAAAAGAAGTGGACAAAAAGCTTCAGCATCCTTCCCTGCCTTAAGAGAAAAGAAAGGGAAAAAAATCCCCTAGTATACGCCCTGCACCCCGCTCTTTCTGTGCTCTTTCCCTACCCACCCGTGCCCTCATGTCACGTTTCTTGCTTTTTTGACATAGTCAAGGCCAAACAACTATTCTTCTCGGAGAGAGAGAGAGAGAGAGAGAGAGAGAGAGAGAGAGAGAGAGAGAGTTTCTGAGAAATTCTTCAACTTTCATGAGATAGTAGAAGATGGAGCATCAACTGAAAAGTCATGAATATACAAAGAAGTGATTAGGATTTGGGATCTAGGTGATTGCCCACTTGAGGGAGAGTTACATGTTTGCTGTCTTTTTCTTTTTGAATAAAATGGGACTAACACCAGGACATATATCTAAATATATACACCGACAACTGATGATTAATAAGATCTAAGATCTTAGGGTTTCCCCACTTTGAGTTGACTCGAATGATTGGTCCACTTCCCAGCTTTGTCTGGGTGCAACTCTATCATGGACCGGCTCATATTCCTGCAACCAATTCAACCAAGAAACACGAACAAAATTTATTCCCCTTCTTTTTGCCTGCAACTTCTTTTACTGTCATCCCTCTCCAATAATTCAACATCCAACCCTAGCTTGCTCTGTGGACACTACCTTTTGAGCCCAACCAAGAAAATGAATATACAAATAAAAGAAAAGCGCTTTTGTCTACCTCCATTTTCTTGAGGAGTTCCTCTGCAGTATTGGCTGAAACTAGTATTTTCCTTGCAGAGTCCTCTATGAAGCCTTCTTCAACTCCTTTATCAAACAATGCAAGCAAGCTGTCATAATACCCATCCACATTCAGTAATCCCACCTGTTTATAACATGGTTTCAGAAAAAGAATCCATATCAACATTTCTCTTGTGCGTTAAAACCTGCTTGCAGTTTAAACCAAAGAAAATGACTTTCAAACTTACTGGTTTTTCATGTATTCCTAGCTGAGACCAGGTAATCATCTCCAGGAGTTCCTCCATGGTTCCATAACCACCTAAATACATAGAATCATAACATCAATCCTTATTGCTCTACACCGATTAGCGAACTACAAAAAAATGTGGAAAATAACTAGAAGTTTCTTGGTACTTGGTAGTTGGGTTTCTTTCGAATGCGAAATAAGAATGCTACCAGGTAGTGCTATAAAAGCATCAGCGTGCTTTGCCATTTCTGACTTCCTTTGGTGCATGTCTGCTACTGTTTTCACTTCTCCATGTGTTTGTCCTGATATCTACAATGGATGGGTTCACTTAGCCATTCAGTATTCATTTCATAAAGAGAGCTTGACCAATAAGAACGACTTAACTGATACTGTGACATACCTCATGAGGAAGAAGCGCTCTAGGGATAACCCTAAAGAAAAGAGAGAATAGAACAGTGCAAGCGAAATAAAAAAGAGTAAAACTTTTTACCAGAACAACTTAAGTGTCAAATGAAAAGCAGGATAAGGATATCTGTATTACCCAAGAACATGGCGACCTCCATTATGCACAGTCTGGGATATTAAACCCATTAAACCAGCACTCCCTCCACCATACACCAAATCAATCTTCTTTTCAACCTGAGAAAAGAGTACATATTTCTTTGAGAACATTGACATTAGCATGGTTTAGAATAGTGGAGATTGTGAGGAAGAGAAAAGAATGAGAAATACCAGGAGTTGACCAAGCTGAAGAGCTGCCTCACTGAAAGTGGACTTGTGTCCAGCTCTGCTACCACAGAACACGCACACCCTTCTGAATCTTCCTTTGGCGGCTTCATTTGCTGCTCCTAATTCCATGTTGTTGACCTCAACAAAGCATGTGTGAGAGAGAGAGAGAGAGAGAGAGAGAGAGAGAGACAGAAGGTGACACCAATGCTTTTGGAGCTCCACAAGCAAAATCACCTTTTGGATTTTATCTGCACACTTGCTTTTGTCTGCTTAGAAAGTATTCTTGGTGTTGGAGATGACCCCAACAACTACCACCCCATCTCTTCTCCATTCCTCTAGCTGGGCAGCTCCTTCCTTTAGTATTGCTCTCTCTCTCTCTCTCTCTCTCTCTCTGTGCAAGTATATATACAAAAATGATGTATTAGTGTGTGTATTTATATACATACTAATTAGTTTTGCTGACAGATTCGCCAACGGCCAACTTCTTTTGCTGCATACTAATAAGTTTTGCTGATAGATTCGCCAACGGCCAACTTCTTTTGCTCAACTCAGAAAATATGTTGGTCCCATCTCACATTGTCTTTTCCTTTGTGTCTTTCTGACCAATGCCACTTCTCCAATTATTTAATCTCTCTCTCAATGTTCTTGGACGCACTATGTTCCAATGCCCCGACGCGATACACAGAACCAATAATGATTTTCAAAATCTCAAATGGATACCCGAGAAAAAGTAAATATAAATCTCTATGCATGTATGTTTTCTATTCAGCGAGCAAGGCAACCGATAGGAAGACTTCTCCCCATAACTTGTTTAGTACAATAGCCGCACAATTCCGTCCTCTCGCATTCGAGTTCTGAACAAAACTAACCATGACAGTGTTCACTTCTCTCTCTGCGTATCACTTGCGTGAGATGAATATGGGCATTGGCGTTGAAAAAACTGATGCATCGTTTTCGTTTAGGCCGTACTGTCTTAGCTCTCACTCTACTCTCATAACTCGAGAGCCAAGAACATAGAAACCGGACTGACGATGTCAGTGTTCCATTGACCCTAGGCTCGTGTAGATGCATGGGCTTCAATATATGGCATTGATGAATGAGCGCGAGATCAACCTCTTTCCAGGAATAATTACTGTGAACTTCTCTCTACTGTATAACCATTGCATGTACCTAATCTCTTTGATTTTTATATAGACAATCTTTCAAGAACAGAACCAACAATTTGTCTAACCCATGTCTCTCAATTAATCTGGAATTCAAAGTTCACACGTCATATTCTTTTAGTCAGGAACTTCAACCATACAAGATCTTCTCATTCTCAGCAGATTCCTCCTTGATTTTCTGCCTATAGTTAAATTCCTATTTTTTTTTCTCATTCCTAACCGCTCTCCTAGCATAATATTAGGCTCATAATTAAATCATTATACATTTGTGCGCCAACTAATGCTAATTGGATTGTCGGGGGATTTTCTAAAATTAATTAGCTACTCTGAGATCTAATTTCCTTAAAATTTCATTCCGATCCAAACTGTTGACAAATTGACATCACTACAAATGAAGCAAGGATGATGATGCTATTCATTGGATTGGGTATGCAAATAGAATATAGTCTATCATATTATAAACAGTCCCACCGAAATTTTCCCTGGTCATGGCACTCATTAAAAGATTGTCTGTGGAATTAGTGCCTAAATGATTGTCCCTAACCAATAAAGCTTGTTAATCCCTTTGGTCTAAAGTGTCTAGAAGACCATATGCAATGCCTACATCAATGATGATACTTGCAATAATATATGTAAAGGTACTTCTTCTCTCTCTCTCTCTCTCTCTCTCTCTCTCTCTCTCTCTCTCTCTCTCTCTCTCGAATAGCTGCCTCGGTCTGATCAATGTTCTGGTGCATCTTGCGATCTCCTCTTTGTGTCTCAAATGGATCAATCAAACTTGGGAAAGTAGTACAATAGTCACCAGTCAATTGAAAAAGTTTCACAAAGATTATAATAATGGGAAAGCAGTTAAAACATCAAAAGCCTAACTATTTTCTAGCCACATAGCATGCACATAGCAGGTGTCATTGATTAATTCGATTAAACCAGTAATTTTCTTTTTGGTCAGAGATTAAATTAGTAATTAAAGGACAGATAACTTGTGAAGAAGACAATGTTGATTTCAGTTGAATTTGTATGTGTGATTATTAACTTCCTCTTGCCCATTTTGGCCTTTGTGTACATTCTCTTGGCACATTGGACTGATAGTTGCAAAGAAAAGCTTGAGAGCCCCCGGTTCAATCAATCTGGACCCCATCTCTCTTTGCCCATGCTCTCTTTTGTTAGGTCCCACACAGATTCTTCATTCTCTCTCTCTCTCTAGAATTGAACAGAAATTCTCGTATCAATTTCGACCTATGGCGCATGAAACAAATCATATCATCCGACGGGGCTCGATCGATATACTCTTCGTGGTTGCTGTATCGCAATTGATTCTGCCTACTGGATGCATTAACAGTGAACTAAAGGACATGAAGGTACTGAACAAGTCACCGAATTCATATTCCTACATATTCATCTCTTGACAACGAGAGCAATAATGAACTGGGTAGTCTAAGCTAATTTGGCCCTATAGAGAAAAAGGAGAACCGAAGGGAACAAATTGACCATCTGATCCTAGTAGCATCCAAAATACATATTGTCTAGAATCGAGTAGGATAGAGAAAAGCTATATAGCGAGGCATTAGTTGGGTGTGGTTGGTTTCAATGTGGGGCGATAGGATATATGTTAATGCGATCAAAGCATCAAAAGGAACAAAAGTCACTCTAGTCGTCAATTTCTCTATATTCCAAACTAGGGATGGAGCCATTAGTTTTGTTCTCTGTTAATTCGGTTAAGAAAAGACAATGAAGAGATCACTGTTTGAAAAAAAAGAGAGAAGAAAATGAAATTAATAAATAATGCTTTCGTCATCCGCATCGACACCTCACATCCGTTATATATACATATACTATATTATATATACATATATATATATATATATATATATATGTGATAAACAAATGATATAAGGAAATAATATAATAGGTATTCCAATCAGGAATCTTCACCGCCACATAAATTGGGTGTCAAAGTTGAGGTTTAGATGGAGGGAGTGGTTAGACATTCTCTTCCTAGTGATAGTCACCAATGAAATGTAAGGGAGGAATAAGGAGGCGGCTGTTCAATTTAGTCAATGTCGGCAAAGACTAGGGTTATGGTTCCCATTTGAATAGACCCGAGTCGCTTTTGGGCATGTTTTTCTCAAGGCTTAGGTTGTCATGAACTTGCAGTACAATCATGGAGGTGAAAGGGGGTGGTAAATTTGGGGTCAATGTTGCAAAATTTAAAAGAGACCTTGCATTATGACTACCTAACAAAAGGGAGCAAGGAAAAGGTTGCCCATTAGTTTAATCCGAAAAGCAATTGGGTCCTCTTTCTTCACCTAAGAATGTCCTGTTTTGACAAGACGGTGGCCATCTAATTTGGAGAATTCTTGTCTCAAAATGATGTTATGACAACACAATATAGAGAAACAGGGGAGCGAAAAATCTCACGATGACAAAATGGTGTGCAACAAATAGGGATTCTTTTCAGTTTCGGGACGACTTGACTCAATGGTTATCATGACATATTATGTTGAAGTGGATTACGAGTTTAGATTATTTGCGACGCCTCGCGTAAGAATCGCCCTTATTTTCCGTCACCCATATAGTACATATTTTCCTCTTTCCAATTTAATTTATTTGGGCCAACTTTTTTATTTACATATGGAAATTGGGATGGGCCTTATCCCCTCATTGACCAAAATACCAAATTTGAAGGCCTTAAGGGTGTTGATCGACAGGGCCCATATAGAAGACTTGACAATCACGTAGGAATAGGATAGGAGAGCTTGTCAAAGTACAGATGTATAATTGCTAGCTAGATCAATAATTCTAGGGGGAAAAATTTCGTGAGTGTGTGATGCCACATCGTTTAATTATGCTTATGCCACAATGAGGGCAATGCATGAATTACAACTGTTATTTACATAACTGGCCATCTCAAAATCAAAGAAGGAAACGTACAACAAAGCAAAAAATGAAGATTTTTTTCTTCCTCCCCCAAAAGCTCTATGGATAGACATCTCCCATCTTGGTATACCTAACATTCGAACTTGATGCTTTGGCGCTTTCCCCCGAATTGCTCACCAGACCGACATTCTGCAACAAAATCCCTCTGCAAGGGTGACTCTTACTGCAATCGAAATTAATGGCCACCTCAGACGCGCTTGTCCCTTTTATATTCTTGTACACCACATTACTGACTTGGACTGCCGACGCCTTCAGTGATTGCAGAGACGATACGGATCAATACAAACTGTCATATGATCATTACCTACGTCGAAAGGGACTTTGAGTGAAAAGTTTTACCTGCTCTGGACATGCTTCAGCTTGATCACAGTAGTTTTGATCTATGATTATAGGATTGGTCACATTGCGCATTGAGATATTTTGGAAAATGATGTTTTTTGCATAGCCAGATCCTCCCTATACAAGGGTAAACAAGAGACAGGATGTTAGATAGCAGTTAATAGATGTATCTCCCTTTTATAGTTTTTTGACATGATCGAATAGTCAACTATCTATGAATACTCAAGTGCATCTTAACAACAATCACCTGCCAAGTCTTTATCCTCACTCCATTTGTGGTTCCTGAAAGCCTTGCTCTATTCACAAGCACGTTTGAAACGTAATCTGTTGATTTATCAGCTCCCAGGCTCCCAATGCTGCATTTTACGGGGATGAATCAGAAGGTATTAATTAGAAAGAAGAATGATAGAGGAATAAATATGAAAAGAAGAATAAATATCATGATCAGATGGATAAATACGTGCAGCAAAACTTGGTGATGACCCACCTGATGCCATGTCCTGGTCCACAGACTATATCCGTAGCTTGAACATTTTTGGATCCACTTACTATGGAAATGCAATCATCCCCTGCAGAGACAATAAATAGAACACATTATATAGAAGTAGTAGCTTAATCATAAAACTCATGCATCTATGTTGACTACTACACGGAGAGTATTTGATTAGTTTTAGGTAAGCAAGGAATTAAGAGAGTAGATTCTTGTGAATTACCTGTCCTGATGACACAATTCTTGATGAGAATGTTTTGGGTGCCAGTGACATGAATCCCATCAGTGTTCGGGCTTTTCTCAGGTGCAGATACCAACAGGTTCAGTACTTTTACGTTGACACACTTCTGGAATGAGAGATGCATTTGTTGTGCATTTTGGATGATCAGGTCAGCTACTCTCAAGTTCTTGCATTCATAGAATGTCATGGCCTGTAAAATTAAACCAATTTTTGGGTCAATAAGAAACTACATGATGATTTGGATGAATGTATGAAATTTCAAGTGTGAAATAAGGCAGAATCAAGGGACTTACAGTTGGTGCTGTTTTGCATGGCTGCAAAATTAATGAAAAAGAAAAGCAATAAGTTAGACTCAATTACAGCAATAGAAGCACAGACGAAATTGAAGGGGATTTGGAAGAGATGTCAGAACAGAATGACGTACGAGTGATTTGTTGATTTTGCAGGAATTAGCCCACCATTTCCTGCCGTTGCCGTTGATGAAGCCACCGCCTTCCATTCTGAAGTCTGTAAGGTTATCAAACATAAGCCAGTATCTTCTATCCTTGTCGTAGTCTGACAGGCGAACTGAAGCTTTGATCGTCCCATATACCTGAATAGTTTGTTCAAGCTGGTAAATGTTATTCCATGTTCTAATGCTTACATTTTGGTGTAATACAGAATAATAACATGTGCATTTTTCTGGTTGAAAGAAAAATAACGTGTGATTTAGCAGTGTACAGAATAAGGAATTCGCGAAAAGGATGTTTCTTGTGTGAATGTGAGCTAGGGACCATGCTATTGTGATCATTTCATGCATAGATCATGCATTTGCGCACCTTAAACGTAAGACCAGATTTACAGGGACCAGAGAAAGTAATGGGCTTAAGATGATAGATTCTGTTCTTGGGGACTACAATAGCAGCTCTCTCCGAAGAACAAGCCACATTCCATGCTTTCTTGAAAGCCTGAAGGTACAGAACAAAAGGATTACACTATTATTACAACTACCCGTAAATAATAACATGACCATATAAAGAATTCCTCGTGAAATATGCTCATAATGCATGTGTATATACCTCCGAGTCATCTCCGCCGTCACCTTTAGCTCCATAGTTATCTACATTAACCACCTTCGTCGTCGAAGTCGAAGCGAGCCTTCTCATCATGTGTAACCTTGAGAAGCTCTCCTGGTTCTTTACGAGAAGGCTCTTCGTATCGGAACCAAGGCCTTTCCGATCATTAAAAGCCACAGCGAGGTTCCCAGGACCATTCAAGATGATGAAAATTACCGAAACAAGAAGCCAAAGTCTATGGACATCAATGGAGGAGGACATGGTCGTTTTCTTTTGCTTTCAGAGAGAAAACAAGAAACGTGAGTTGGTTTAGCAGAGTTGAGGAAGATAAGCGTTAGCTGGGGAGACGATGAGACTTGAGTACAATGAGACAAGTGACTTTGTTGGTGACGAGCTAAGGAGGATGTTCGTGGAATTTATAGGAAGAGTTAAGTGGAAGTTTGTCTGCCAAAAGAGAGATTAACGAACGAGATTACGGAAAAAAGTGGTTTCTGGATGGGAAATTGGCTGCGTGAAGAAGGGTCAGAGATGTTGGATTTGATTTGACGAAGTTGAATTTGAAGCTTTGTTTTGTATTGGAGATGGAGGATTACTTAACTCGTAGCTGACTCTAACACAAAACAAAGAAAAGATATCAGCGGATTATTATTGAAATGTTTAGTGTTGGTGCTGGTTCACCCAACACTATTTCCACACTCCTTGTGCGTCGGTCCACATTAGAGTCCTATTTCCAAACGGTAGACCCCGCCCGACTTCTTTCCTACGCCTCCCATGTTTTACGCATTCTCATTAGCCCATGTGCTACGTATATACTGATCCGTATATATACTTATACGTTATACGGTCCATCTCCTACAATATATAAACAGAAATCATTAGGTGAACCGGCTGCGTGCGCACACATACCATCAATTCATCTTATCGGTCAATCTAGCGTATTCCATGAAATAGTAGGTTAGAATCGCCTCATTTATCAATGGCCACAATGGGCAGGGATACATGTCCTCAGTCCATTTAGCGTAAATGCCTCGATGATAGATAGATTAAGTAGATCACATTGTAGAATTCATATGAAGTTTAATGTCAATTTGCATAATCATATTGCATAGATTAATATAAGGGTTTTGCTAACGAGTGTCCCGGGACACTTGATAAACATATTTAATATGATTCGATTTTCGAAAAATCGATTGTGCGTGTTAGGAGAACAGTCAATGCGCTGCTATTAGGGTGTTTCTTTTTAACACAATCCTTCTGTAAAAAGTAGTTGATTCAGCCTGTATGTGTAACTTAGTCCAGGCCAATTTTGATTTGAGGGTTTAAGACACACTGACTTTCCAACGAAAATGTTAAGCTAATAGACGAAAGCCATGGCTCTGCGGGACACCAATTGCCTCCACGACATCTCCACGAGTCCCACAATTTCTTTAGGGATGGTGACTCATACCTGTTCTAAATAAGCCTAGGCGATGATTACTTGTCCTAAGAAAGTACCCCCACCATTACATTCTTGAGGCCACAAAATATGAAGCATGTGTATGCGTGTGAGACATATGGAAACATAAAAAAAAGCACCCACCCCAAGAAACATGAAGGCTACTGGCTAGAGCAGGCAAGCATTCTCAAATGCCATGCCACGTTCGACTTTGGCTTCCAACCATTGATCAAAACACATTGAAAAAGCGGTTGCATACGGGCACTTGACGAAAGAGCATGCGTAATTAGGCATATTCGGGTAGTCATCACCTCTTGATGAAACAAGCAAACTATCTGGTACTTAACCACTGACACATCCATATCTTTTTAAGTTTTTGATTGACCGCCATTGAGTCTTTGACCAAGAAAACGGGTAATGTCGTTAACATTCCTTTCTGGTCCAACGGATACTATTAACCGCCGTGTCTTAGTTTGACTCTTCTTTCAGAAACACATGGACTAAAGAAACTAATTGAAAAACAGCAGTGTCAAAGATTTGACCCCCGCAACATGCTCTATATTATAGGGTAAAACCTGACATTGATAAGTCAAAAGGTCGTGCCTATGCACCATTTCCCTATTTTAAGATCGAATTTGACATGCGTGTTTTGATCCTCTCTCAGTCGGGAAGGCAAAGAATGTGGTTCTTTTTCTTCTGATTGACCTTCTAAAATTAGGTAGTTAAAGTTGACTTTGATCAGGCTATTTTGGGTTACCGCACAACAAAGAGCCTAACATGGGGACTTAGGTCTTGTAGCTCTCCGGAGGAAGCAAAACTTGTTTTGACTATTTCTTTTGGAGATGATGATGAATCATCTAAGTTGGGCTTAACTCCAACATTGGGTTTGTGTTGACAGCTTCTATCCGTTGACAAGGTTAACACTCAGCATACGATTGGGGGAGTTTTTAGATATATCAATTGGGATTTGGAGTGGTTACACACGCATACTATTATCTGACATGTGGATCATATATGAGTGAAGTCCACATCACATGTGAGAAGAAGAGAGAATGCGTCGGATATTGTTAATTATATCTCCTTCCATGACTTGACATGCATAACACGAACAATGAAGAAAATATACGTCGAGTTCCATGTAGATTTTTTCTACTGGGCACAACAATTTGCCGATCATCTTCATCAAAATATTTAAGACATATAATATGAAGTGGATCATTTTCCTGTGTGTATATATCCTTTTTGTAAGAGGACCCAGGCATACATGTTGCTACCGTAGCTTCTTGATTTTGATGGACTTGGAGCAAAGAGTGTCGAATGCACATACAAATCTTGAATTGCAATTGGCAACAGCTTTCCTAGAAATACGCTGATGGAATCAGCTCGATTGAGATGGCATACTACTTCAGCCCGCTGGGCTGGGGTGGGCTCAATCGATTAAAGGGAGTTTGAGCATGGGTCAATCTCGAACACTTTCATAAGCTTGGTTGACCTAGTTTTAGCCAATGGTCCATGTGTTAAGGTCATGATACATGTCATGTCCCCAGATACCACACGATAATCGCTCATCCTATCTACACTCCAAATTCCAATCAGAAGTGCGATAACACAAGGATTTCATTTAAACAGGCTTAGTTGTAAGGATCCATCTACATTGCAGATGTGATGTGAACCCTAGAGGTTGAGACACATTAACTCCATCCTGAAAACATGTATGATGTAAACGGCAATAACGGGTTACGTATATCCTTCTCTAGTAAGATCATCTTACTAAGTTGCATCTCTTCTTGAGCTATTTCTTCTAAAACAGGAGGGAAGCAGACTTGGTAGAAGGAAACATCTTTTTGGGTACCTTCAAATAAAAGAAGAAATAGCGGGGCCGTCAGCTCCCACTCTTTCACAGTGATAAGAAGGGTAATTTCTGGTTTCGGCTCAATATGGACAGCATCATTCTAATGCTGCAAACAATAAGACAAAAACGTGGGAAGTGGTTTTTTCTTTTTCCTTTTGGAGCAGTTGGGTCTTCTTTGTCTCTTGTTCTCCACGTGGGTCCAATCCCATCTTCCTCTGCCTTCCTTAGCATCTTTCAAATGGAATCTCATGGACTTATTCAATCAAATAAAAAAGAAGGAATGCGATGAACTTTGCCCATCAATTATCTTATTATACTCTTCCTAATTCCAGAAAGACAAGTTGATTATGCTGCATTACAGCTCTTTCACGGGAGCAATGCTGACTTCTAGAGACAAATGCGCGAAATGAAAAGCCGGTGTTAAATGAGCGAGAAGACTTCACGCTGCTTTGGGCCATCCGCCATTTTCCAACTCATTGGAAACTGCCGTGGATGATTTTTATTTCTCTCTGTTGAACGCAGATTGAAGTTTCGAGGTTAGACAAATTCCATCCGAAATTACGACCACAAAACAAACGGGGATGAATACAGATGTACACGCGCGGATCGATCCTTGGACGCTGTCGTTATGACCACGTAACATTGTTTTTGCCGCAATTGCCTGATATTCTCTGGGGGGGCGACGACTCGTGAATCCGCCTCGAGAACGTGGCATTCTTGACACCAATTCCAAAGATAATCCGCATCTGCCTCTTTATCTGATTATTTTCGCACAAACCACAAAAAAAGGACAAAGATTTTATAACTTCCAGGTGCCCATTATTTTTCATTTTTCTCTTGAAATAAGAAAAGAGAAAATGACTCAAATAGCCCTGAATTTTTAATTTATTCAACGTGATCGTTGAACTTTAACTCAATGTGCAATGTATATGGTTCCTGAATTTTTAATTTGTTCAATGTGATATCTGAACTTCCGGTACATGTTCAATTTAGTCCCCGAACTCTCTGAAAATGTTCAATATAGTCCTTTCATTAATTTATGTTCGGGGACTATATTGAACATTTTCATATAATTCGGGGACTACATTGAACATGTATTAAAAATTCATTAACCACATTAAATAAATTAAAAATTTAGGGATCACATTAAATATTAGCTTAAAGTTTAGAAATTATTTACAAATTATATTACAAATTTGCCGAAAGTTGAGGGATTGGTTCCGTCATTATCTAAATAAGAAAATGAGGAGAGCCCACGGCCGCCCCACTTCATTAAAAATAAAAAACGATTTTATCCCCCATATTTTTCCCACCACAAATTCTTCAATTTGTGGTGGGAAAAATATCCAAGAAAAAGGAGCGCGTGTCGACCACTGATAGACCGACCAGCCACGTCGACTCATGCAAGTGACTAGACCGGTAATATCACTAATAACACTGTCAAACAACTCGCTCTTATCGGTCTCCCAGAGAGAGAGAGAGAGAGAGAGAGAGAGATGGCGGAGAGAGAGGAGAAGATGAAGTACGATGAGAAGAAAGGGAGCGGCGGCGGCGGCGGAGGAGGAGGAGGAGGAGGGATAGTGGAGGTGAATCCGAAGCCGAAGAAGGGTGTGACGTCCAAGGTGGTGGACTACATAGAGAAGCTGATCGTGAAGTTGATGTACGACTCTTCTCGGCCCCACCACTACCTCTCCGGCAACTTCGCTCCCGTCCCCGACGAGACCCCTCCCGTCACCGACCTCCCCGTCCTCGGCCATCTCCCTGTAATTTGCTCCCCGCCTTCATTCTCATGTTTCCTTGGCAAAGCGTGTTCGCCGCTCTTATCTATTTTATCGTCGATTTTATGGAGTGTGTAAATCGTGCTCTCTTAGGATTGCTTGAATGGAGAATTCGTTCGGGTGGGCCCCAATCCCAAGTTTGTCCCTGTCGCCGGATACCACTGGTACTCTCTCTCTTTGCCCGGTTTCGTTCTTGTGTCAACTCTCTGGTTCGGTTTCTCTGTTTATGTCTTTAACGACGGGCTAGATACACGGTTTTATTAACTGGGTTCTGTTTGTTTTTTCCCTCCGTGCAGGTTTGATGGAGATGGGTGCGTATTCTTGAGCCTGCCCGATTATGCATTGGCTGATGCACATCTAGTTCATAGCAAGTTTTGCTAAAGTGGAGAA